TAGAAATGATTAGACTTGGACGTTAACACCTAGTAACCTAACCATAGAAATGATTAGACTTGGACGTTAACACCTAGTAACCTAACCATAGAAATGATTAGACTTGGACGTTAACACCTAGTAAACTAACCATAGAAATGATTAGACTTGGACGTTAACACCTAGTAACCTAACCATAGAAATGATTAGACTTGGACGTTAACACCTAGTAACCTAACCATAGAAATGATTAGACTTGGACATTCTGCTTTACTGATAGATTATGATGAAAACTGACTTCTCAGTTATCACTGCAAACAAGAGTTTTTGCTGATAACAGTTAAGGATACTGACACACTTCAGTGACTCTTGATTTCATGTTTAAAAATAAACATTTTAGATTCAGACTTATTTTAAAAAATATATATTAAATAGATAAAAATAAATCTGTCCGTTGGCAAAAAAGAGGATGATGAATTTCATTTTTTTTTCTTCACATTTTAATTTACTAAAAAGTTTGGCAAGATAAAAAGAAAGACTAATAGCTAGCTATTTCATGCACAAAAACAAGTGAATCAGAGGTCTTGAGCCACAAATGGAAAGAGAGTTAATGAAAAAGGGAAGTTGAGTATTTTGGCAACATTAAAAACATGGCACTTAAAACTAACCGTGCTTGAAGGTAGATAAAAACCCAAGAGGGATTATACTGAGAGATAAACAAACGTCTGTTTGTCGAAGTACAATCAGGACAAGAGACCGATTCACTTCTCAGCCAGACTTCACTGAGGGGACAGCACCCACTAGATTAAAATACTCAACAAAAACTATGTAATGCAAAGCTATTTCTCAATAATTTTTTTTTTAAATTGAAATCAGAACAAAACGCATAAAAAGGATTTGTTTGGATATGATTAAATATTTATCCTGACAGCAAAACTTAACAGCAACATCTTCTAGCAAATTCTGCTTACTTTTACTGCCAAAAGAAAAGAAAAAACAACGAATATGAAAGAATAACATTTGAAATCTAATTTAAATGTAAGATAATGTCTAAATGAATTAAGAACCAACAGACTGCACTCAGGGCATTATCATATATGCTCTTCCCATTCTTCAGCAGTCAGCAATGAGTCCTATATACTCGTTAATGCAGTGGCAGGCAGAGCTATACCTGTCTTTCCCCCTTGAGTGTTACTTAGACTCGCCGCTCCCTGCTAAGTAAGTTCCACCAATGATTAGATATGATAGAGTATTAATATATATACATTTACTGGCATGACGCTGACATCGTCATCCACCAAGTGCCGATTGGTCTATAAAAAGATGTGTTTAGCATAAAATTCCCACTACTTCACTGGTGTAAAAAAGTGTGCTTTTACATCGATAACAATGACACTATGAATGGAGCATTATTACAATGTCTGTTATTCCACAGCAAAGCATAACATTTATGTTTCTAAAGCAAGCAGGTTAATAACAAAAACACTATGGACAAATTAGGATGTCAACAGTGCTAAGAGAAGATTTGCTTCCAAACTATAGCTGCAAGTTAACCTCATTTTATATATAGAAAATAGCTGCAGTGTTCAATCTAAGCGTGCTGAAACTGAATTTAGCACCGTTTATTCTGGCACTAAAGCCTGTTATTTCCCTTATTTTATATCTCACAAGAGTCACTGTACACTTGTTCAAGCGTGGAGTTAAAACAAAAATTCATATTTACCACGATTTCATTTATCAGTTTATACATATATAATGCAATTTGTTAAAGAAAAGTTTTGACACCACAGGTAGCTTTAAGCATACAACACAGATTTAGAAACAATAAGTACAGGTTTTTGTCATCACAAATTCAAAGAAACAAAACATCTAAATCAACTGGAACAAAACATGCCTTCTTAATAGCTAAATGTATGTGTCAAAGGTTTTTTTTTTTTTTAAACATGGTAAAATAACAATTAGAGAACATACATTTTTTTTATTGCTTTCAAGTATTTAACCCTTGTGCCCAGAAAAGACTTTATTCTTTAAAAAAAATGGTCATGAACCGGGAAACTTGAGCAAGATAAAAAAAAAAAATTTAAACAACCACTGTACACAGGTCACTAATAATTTTGTTTTCATTTATTACCATAACTTGTTGAAAAACAATTTCAAAATATATTAAGGGAGTAATAAAAAAAAAATATGAACGGAGTGCTGTATTAGATGGAATACATTCCATTAAAAAAATGTATCGGGTGATTCATACTGTGACCCAGTCAGAAATCTAACACTAAGGCAAGGACTTAATGTCCAAATTATGATGTCAAAATGGCTTAAAAATAGCCATTTTTTTTTTTACAAGATAATATTACTGAATGCTGTCTTAAATAAATATATTCATATCCGAGCCTTCTCAATGCTGCCACGCGCAAACACACAACAAATTATGCTAGCTATACCCCTCAGAAAGACAACGCTGCAGAAATGTCGGGCAAGTTTTTCTAGGCAAATTTTACCTTCAGTAGTTTGCCATTAAACTGAACAGTCAGCTCTCTGTACTACTGTCGAAACGAACGCAAGAGAAACCGTCCGCAGCTGGGATCAAACCCAGCACTCTGGCATTACAAAGCGCTCGCAACGTCTAAGCCACGCTTAAAAGTTGTAGATCCAGGCAATAAAGATAGTTTTTAAACGAGTTATTTTTTAATGAAGCCAAACAGGTAATCATTTTTCTCTTTTTTAAATCAGTTGATTTAATAGCATTAGTCTTAAAAATCACAAAATAATTATTTTTAAAGAGTTTATAACAACGGCTATCAAAATGTTACATTCTAAGTAGATGCAGATGCACACCTAAAAATATAGTGTACTGTATATATTATTTAGCAATAATGTCACTGCAAACTCACGTTATTCTTAAACATTTACTGCAGGGTTAGGGTCATGACAAGTTTTCTCTTTCATTTAGTGGCATTTGTAACACTGGAGTTAATTTATTCTATGCTAAGCAACTGACCCAATGTTGACTGATTATGTCATAAATGTATATTTTCTGTAATTTTTCTGTCACAGCCAGTTGTTTCACTAACCTTCTCTATTTTTCCTTGTTAACAATGAGAATAACACGCACAGGGAAGAAAACAAAAACTGAAGTTCTGAGCACTGCAGTTTACCAAAATCGAAAGGAAAATTCAACTGAAACGTATAGGGCCCACTGACAGGAAAGGTAAAGCAGTCATAGTTGTAATTACATAAATACTAGGCAAGGGAGATGGAAGAAGACATAAAAAGATGTATGTACATGTTAAAAAAGCAATGGCAAACTACTGAATATAAAATTTTCCTTGAAAAAACCACAACAGCCAATAAATGATGGGATTGGTTCTGCAACGTCCTGTAAAGGATACACAACTAACTTTTGATATAGAAAGTTAAAACAGTTGTGGATTAATGGTTAATTTTAAAAATCACACAGTAAAATCTCGTTACCATGACTTCCAAAAGACCAAAAATTGAGTTCATGTTAAACAAAATGTGTGCTAACCAAGGATTGATAACATTAAAAAAATCCCTGCTGGGATCATAATTTTGTTCATGTAAACTAAGTTGAGTTGAAATGATGTGAAAACCGTCTTCACAGCACTCGTGGCAGCCCTGAGCTAGAGATACTGTATGAGAACAGCCCTGAGCTAGAGATACTGTATGAGAACAGCCCTGAGCTAGAGATACTGTATGAGAACAATCCAGAGCTAGTGATACTGAATGAGAACAGCCCTGAGCTAGAGATACTGTATGAGAACTGCCCTGAGCTAGAGATACTGTATGAGAACAATCCAGAGCTAGTGATACTGTATGAGAACAGCCCTGAGCTAGAGATACTGTATGAGAACTGCCCTGAGCTAGAGATACTGTATGAGAACAATCCAGAGCTAGTGATACTGTATGAGAACAGCCCTGAGCTAGAGATACTGTATAAGAACAGCCCTGAGCTAGAGATACTGTATGAGAACTGCCCTGAGCTAGAGATACTGTATGAGAACTGCCCTGAGCTAGAGATACTGTATGAGAACAGCCCTGAGCTAGAGATACTGTATGAGAACAGCCCTGAGCTAGAGATACTGTATGAGAACAGCCCTGAGCTAGAGATACTGTATGAGAACAATCCAGAGCTAGTGATACTGAATGAGAACAGCCTTGAGCTAGAGATACTGTATGAGAACTGCCCTGAGCTAGAGATACTGTATGAGAACAATCCAGAGCTAGTGATACTGTATGAGAACAGCCCTGAGCTAGAGATACTGTATGAGAACTGCCCTGAGCTAGAGATACTGTATGAGAACAATCCAGAGCTAGTGATACTGTATGAGAACAGCCCTGATAAGAACAGCCCTGAGATACTTTATAAGAAACAGCCCTGAGCTAGAGATACTGTATGAGAAACTGCCCTGAGCTAGAGATACTGTATAGAGATACTGTATGTGTGAGAACAGCCCTGAGCTAGAGATAATGTGTGAGAACAGCCCTGAGCTAGAGATACTGTATGAGAACAGCCCTGAGATAGAGATACTGTATGAGAACTGCCCTGAGCTAGAGATACTGTATGAGAACAGCCCTGAGCTAGTGATAATGTGTGAGAACAGCCCTGAGCTAGAGATACTGTATGAGAACAGCCCTGAGCTAGAGATACTGTATGAGAACTGCCCTGAGCTAGAGATACTAGAGATACTGTATGAGATACTAGATATGAGAACAGCCCTGAGCTAGAGATACTGTATGAGAACAGCCCTGAGCTAGAGATACTGTATGAGAACAGCCCTGAGCTAGAGATACTGTATGAGAACAGCCCTGAGCTAGAGATACTGTATGAGAACAGCCCTGAGCTAGAGATACTGTATGAGAACAGCCCTGAGCTAGAGATAGAGCTAGTGACTGTATGAGAACAGAACTGCCCTGAGCTAGAGATACTGTATGAGAACAGCCCTGAGCTAGAGATACTGTATGAGAAGCCCTGAGCTAGAGATACTGTGTATGAGAACCTGAGCTAGAGATACTGTATGAGAACAGCCCTGAGCTAGAGATACTGTATGAGAACAGCCCTGAGCTAGAGATACTGTATGAGAACAGCCCTGAGCTAGAGATACTGTATGAGAACAGCCCTGAGCTAGAGATACTGTATGAGAACAGCCCTGAGCTAGAGATACTGTATGAGAACAGCCCTGAGCTAGAGATACTGTATGAGAACACAGAACAGCCCTGAGCTAGAGAGCTGAGAGATACTGAGCTAGAGAACAGAACAGCCCTGAGCTAGAGATACTGTATGAGAACAGCCCTGAGCTAGAGATACTGTATGAGAACAGCCCTGAGCTAGAGATACTGTATGAGAACAATCCAGAGCTAGAGATACTGTATGAGCTAGAGATACTGTATGAGAACCCCTGAGCTAGAGATACTGTATGAGAACAATCCCTGAGCTAGAGATACTGTATGAGAACAGCCCTGAGCTAGAGATACTGTATGAGAACAATCCCTGAGCTAGAGATGATGAGAACTGTATGAGAATAAGAACAGTGAGCTAGCCCTGAGCTAGAGATACTGTATGAGAACAGCCCTGAGCTAGAGATACTGTATGAGAACAATCCCTGAGCTAGAGATACTGTGTGAGAACAGCCCTGAGCTAGAGATACTGTATGAGAACAGCCCTGAGCTAGAGATACTGTATGAGACAGCCCTGAGCTAGAGATACTGTATGAGAACAGCCCTGAGCTAGAGATACTGTATGAGAACAATGAGATAGAGATACTGAGCTAGAGATACTGATGAGAACAGCCCTGAGCTAGAGATACTAGTATGAGAACAGCCCTATGAGAACATGAGAACCCTGAGCTAGAGATACTGTATGAGAACAGCCCTGAGCTAGAGATACTGTATGAGAACAATCCAGAGCTAGAGATACTGTATGAGAACAGCCCTGAGCTAGAGATACTGTATGAGAACAATCCAGAGCTAGAGATACTGTATGAGAACAGCCCTGAGCTAGAGATACTGTATGAAAACAGCCCTGAGCTAGAGATACTGTATGAGAACAGCCCTGAGCTAGAGCTACTGTATGAGAACTGCCCTGAGCTAGTGATATTCTATGAGAACAGCCCTGAGCTAGAGGTATTCTATGAGTACAGCCCTGAGCTAGAGATACTGTATGAGAACAGCCCTGAGCTAGAGATAATGTGTGAGAACAGCCCTGAGCTAGAGATACTGTATGAGAACAGCCCTGAGCTAGAGATACTGTATGAGAACAGCCCTGAGCTAGAGATACTGTATGAGAACAGCCCTGAGCTAGAGATACTGTATGAGAACAGCCCTGAGCTAGAGATACTGTATGAGAACAGCCCTGAGCTAGAGATACTGTATGAGAACAGCCCTGAGCTAGAGATGAGAACAGCCCTACTAGAGATACTGTATAAGATCAGCCCTGAGCTAGAGATACTGTATGAGAACAGCCCTGAGCTAGAGATACTGTATGAGAACAGCCCTGAGCTAGAGATACTGTATGAGAACTGCCCTGAGCTAGAGATACTGTATGAGAACAGCCCTGAGAATACTGTATGAGAACCCCTGAGCTAGAGATACTGTATGAGAACAGCCCTGAGCTACAGATACTGTATGAGAACTACCTGAAAAAAAAAGAGATACTGCTTTTCGATTCTGGTGGATGATACAAATGTTCGCATATAAATTATTTCCATACTTCTCAACATGTAGGTTACTCTTACAAACTGGCAAAGTACTGTTCAAGTATAAGAAAAACACACTAAAAGAAACACATACAAAACATTTTTGTTCAATAACTGTAAGGTGTGAATAAAAATGAACAACAGTTACTTAAATCTACCTACTATATATGCACATCATTTACATAGTGCCTTTATCAGATAGTGCCTTTATCAGGCATGCATTCATCTCTTTTGGCTGTTAGATTTTGTCAAAATTACCCACCCACACATACAAAGCACACAATGTATTATATCCATCTACAGAATGTATTATTTTGTTGTTCATCCTAAAATACTATGACAAAACACAAGGAAAGCTAACAATTTGTGTAAAGGCACAATAAAACATACGTGTGATGACTGGCATTTCAACATATTTGGTTCTCTTTTTGTTCATAATGTGCATACAAATGTGACTTGTAAGTACATCTGATCAATGTATAAAAAGCCTGACCATAACCATGACAAGTTAGTTAAGTTTCTATAGACGAAAATTAGTGTTCATTTTAATTCTTTGAAAATGTTGCCAGTCTGGTTGGTGTCTAGTATCAGTTGAGTTCAGTTCAGTTTAGCTATGAACTGATATCACACAGCGCTCAGGAAATTCACAGAAGCTATCTAGTTCTAGTATTACATTCCTGAATAAGCATTTTCATCTGCAAATGGAAACTCACAAATTGAAAACACACTAAATACACAATTATACATATTTACAGACTAGATTTGAATCCCGCAGTGAATGTTTTTCCCTATTAAGGTATCTCAGTACGACTGCTAGTGTTATGGTAGAAGAGGTTGTGTTTTTTTTTGGGGGGGGGGGGGGGGGAGAATTGATGAATTCAACTTGCAAAAAGTGCTCATTATATAGCTTGCAGGTTTACATGTTTATTTTTTTGTAATCTTGTAGCTTCACTGGGGATCGAACCCAAGCAACCTGATGAAGAGGTGGGCATTGCGCCCACATAGCTGTAGATAATTATGACAATAATTTACAACAACAAAATTATAACACAATAAATCCCAGTAAGAAATACGACACAACACAAAAACAGAATTGACACTTAAGTACATCAAACCGTTACAATATCATACAAATATGTGGAATAAAAATGAAGCAATAGGATTAAAGGAAATATGTGATACTTCATTCAGTGGCTCCGAATCTTGAAATGATGCTATCAAGAACACAGTCCCAACAAAGTAGTGGGAATTTGTGTCAGCTCACCAGTCAAATCTTAAAATTAAAATGTATTCCTCAAAATATATTTCAGATTTGTACGACCAGTCAAAAAGACAGATTTTTTGGTGTAGACACTAACTTTAGCTGCATTGAGAGCATAAGTCAGGGGGTAAATACCAGGGCTGCTAATGGTTTTTTTTTTTAAACCCAGCTAAGCTGAACAAAAACCCAAGCAATACATAGGCTTAAAACAAAATTTAAAAACCCAGATTGTTAAAAAGTACAAATTTTACAGTTACAAAATAAACATTTACCCACTTTTGTATAAGGATATATTTTTTAAAAAAAAACATTTCAAAATCTGAACCCAAGGTGTCAAATAAAAACCCAGATCTGGGGGTAAAAACCCATCATTGGCAGCCCTGGTAAATACTGCTGCACATGGAACATGAACAGCTAGTAATAAAACCAATGAAAAATATAATCTTTCCCCCAAATATATATATGTACATATTGTTACTTTAAGCTATAAATGAGTATCTTTTATGTTTTAGTTAGTCCTAGTGACCATAAAACACTGCACAGAGAAAATATATTTTAAGTACATTCTGAAAAAGTCCCTTATTCGAAAGACAATGTAGCCATGAATACACATATTGTCTATGACCATTATAGATATCCAGCAACCCACATCACCAGCCAGGTTGCAAAAGATATTAAAGATTTCAGGGATTAAACCAACATTTTTTTTTATTAAAGACAGTAAATCTAGGGACTTGCACCGTATAAAAAGTCTGTTCTTCTGGAAGAGAGAGGTGACTGCATGTGCAACCAAACAAACAAACAGCCTAATTTAAGTCATTTTGCAAATAACATGCAGGCATTTTTTACATGGAAGTTATGGCTAATGCGTTTTTGCCTTTCCTACAGGGGCAGTTTTAATATGGGAGCATTATTCTTTACCCACATAGGACTGCAAGTTACAATGGGCTCATGTGGCCTTCATGGGAGCTCTAATCATAACTTCATTGGAGGTTGAATGGGGTATGTTGGCTTGCCCTGTTGTCTGCTATTAGAACTGAGATTCTTTAGTCTCATGGTGTCAAAACCACAAGCCTTGCTGGTCTGAGATCTTTTCAGCCAGCAGCCCGAAGGGGATAAATGGCATGCATGCACACACAGACACCCCATGATATGGAAATTACAGCCATTTAATTTAATCTTGCTTTTCCAATTATGGCGCTCTAAAGACTATTGAGAACCATCTTATCTTTAAATTGGGTTACCTATCTCGGCATGGCCTAAATGTTCAACAGTTTCATTAAATAATATTTCATATCACTTTTCTTTACCATACCTCTCAATCTTTCTGACATCCCACCTACAGTAGGCTCTCTGCGTCTTTTTCTGTCTAGACTATATCTTCTTCTTCTTTGCGTTCACTGGCTGTAAACTCCGGGGGAAAGCTCTGGTTGTTTGTCCACTTCTGCTTCTTCTTCTTCTTTTGTCAAAATCTGCTTGTGCCGCTAGGCGTCGCAGTCTATCAGATGATCGGCAACCGAGCCAGGGCGCGCTCAGTCGCTTCATATGCCGTGATGTTATGAAGTCTCAAGTTGTCCGTGACTCCTTCAATCCATCTTCTTCTTGGTCTTCCCCTGCCTCTTGTTGTTTCGATTTTCATGTTGTATGCTCTTGATGCTGGCATCGTTGGTTCCATTCTCATTAGGTGACCAAACCATTTCATTCTTTGCTTCTCAATCAATTTAACGATGGGTATGGTTCCAATAGTTCTTGTAATCACATCGTTTCTCACTCGATCTCTTCTGGTTTTATTCGCAGCCATTCTCAAACATCTCATTTCACAGGTGGTTAGTCTTCTCTCATGTTCTTTTGTTAATGTCCAAGTCTGACATTGATAACCTAATGTGTGCACTTCTGCAGTCCTCCTAATTCCAGAACCTGATTGTTGCGTGTGCATCCGTTTGACAGATCTGACTAATTTGTATGCAGACTGTTGGTTCCATGCCTCTCAGGCATATGCACTTCGACTTCGAAGGAAGCTCCCAATTAGTCGACTCTTACGACATACTTTTGGCTAGGCAGTGGGTCTATTCTTGTTTTTCCCATATTACGGCCCCGGAACCCACACAGGGATCTACACTATATGACTCAGTAAGGTTGTATGCATCGCTTTTGTTTGTGTTTAACATGCTGCACTAAACATCTATCTGAATTATCCGTTTCTCGTGGCATTGCAACTATATCC